AGTGTGATATAGTTGCCAAGATGAAATATAAGATGAAAACGTACAGCAAAACTCAACCAATGCTATTTAGACACAGACATGAGAAGCGATGACACTAAAGCAGCCATGTGTCCGCTGGTTTGGAGGTGTCATGACTGCAGCCCAAAGGAAGGCAGCTGTCTGGAGGAGGCATTGTCAGAGGACACAGGCTGCTTGTTGCTTCTGCATCGCGTGTCTGACCTGCCACGGCAGTTCTTGCTGGCGCCCTTGTTCTTCTAAGACCTTTTCCTTGGGATCAGAATCTGGCACCTAACAATGTTGTCCTTAGATGTTGGAAGGGGGTGATATTATCAAATGACTATCTGCATGGCTTCAGCATCCTGTTTATTCTTTTATTCATTTATTTATTTATTTTTGTGGTGTTGGGGATTGAACCCAGGGTTTTGTCCATGTGAGGCAGGCACTCAGAGCTTCATTGTGAATGTCCATATTGGGCTATTATGGAATGACTCATTTTGCAAACATCCTTGCACTTAGAGTACATATATAGAGAGAATTATGGTTCAAAGGGACATGTTTCAGGAGATGGTTCTTTAAGAGGTAAAGTCTTGGGCTGGGGTTGTGGCTCAGGTAGAGCGCTCGCCTAACATGCGTGAGGCACTGGGTTCGATCCTCAGCACCACATAAAAATAAAATAAAGGTATTGTGTCCACTTACAACTAAAAAATAAATATTTAAAAAAGTGGTAAAGTCTTATTAAGCATGCAGTGATAGAAATCCTTCATGAAGCTGTGAGGATAAGAATATTATTTCTGGAATTTATAGAAATAAATATATAATAGCTTAAAACAATAGTGAGTCCTTTTTCTCCCCACCCCTTGGTTGAGACAAGGTTGTCCAGGGTTGTCTTGAACACCTGTGCTCAGCCATCCACCTGCCTCAGCCTCCCTAAGTAGCTAGGACCACAAGCAAGCACCTGTGCCTGGCTCTGACATAAGTTTTAATTATCTGTTTTCAAAACAACTTACCTTTGCAGAATTCAAGAACATACAGTTGTCAAAGAGACCTACCCCTTTGCACAGCTCCAGCATTTATTTATTTATTTTTTATTGATTGTTCAAAACATTACAGAGCTCAAGACATATCATGTTTCATACATTCGACTCAATTGGTTTTGAACTCTCCAAATACATAATACAGACTCACTTCTGTTACATACTCACATTTTTACATAATGGCATATTAGTGACTGTTACAGCTCCAGCATTTAATGTGAATATTACTGCAGAGGGCTCCATGGCTGACTAGTGAAGGAGGGGCTGATGGTGCTCCTGTAGCAGGAGGGAAGGATCCACTTATTTTCAAATGCTGGGCCTTGCTTTCTTCATACTTATGGAAAAATACAGTTATAGCTTTAAAGTTTTGGTCTTTGGTATAATAGTTTTCTAGAATCTTGTGAGAAACGTACACTGCTTGCTTAATGTCAACTTAATCATTAATTTTACTTCTGTTTTTCTTTTTCCGGAAAACTTGAGACGAGTCAAGTATGAAAAGCTCTCTGAGTGCTGCCATTTCTTGAAGCTGCAGTTTGGGCCAAATGAACCCTGCATTCTAAGTCCGAACAATAGAGAAATAAATTCTCTCATCAATGCTGAATAATTTTAGCTCTTTTTATCAGACAATAGCTTGATTGCAATGCTAGGTTTCTGGATTTTAAGGAACAAGATGACAATAGCAAAAAATGGGCAAAGAAAGCTTTAGATTGAAAGAAAGGCCAACATACTATGAAATTAAATGTAAGCATCCACTGAATGTGCTATCAGGCTCTGACTCTAGTGGCTAGGGGGTTGGGCCCAGGAAAGTGGGGAAGGGTAGCCACTCAGGGTGACTTAGGTAAAGCTTTAAGAATAATGAAGAGAGTTCCAGAAGATAACATTGCAGGGCAGAAAGAAGTCTGATCAGGTACTACGGCATAGGTAAAGTAAGAATTTTATTTTGGAGTAATGGGTTTGTTTCAGACTTCTGACCTCCTAAACTGTGAGACACAGATACTTTTTTCCTTTTCCTTTTTTTTTTTTTTTTTAATGCTATGGAGAATTGGACCCAGGAGTACTCTACCACTGAGTTATTCCCCCTCTTTTTAAATTTTATTTTGAGCAGGGTCTTACTAAGTTCCCAGGCTGGCCTTGAAACTTATGATCCTCCTTTCTCAGACTCTCGAGTAGCTGGGATTACAAGGGTGCACCATCACTCGTGGCTAAATGTGTGTTATCACATTCTTGGCATTTTTTACAGCAGCCATATGAAGTTAATATACCTGTGAAGGAAGATTGTCCCTGCATTCCAAATCTACCTGAATTCCTACCCACCTGAGAAAAAAAGAACTGTTGTTGAGTAATTGGGGCAATTTAATCCATAAAACAGTAGATCATCATGTATGGTTCTCAGCACTGAATATCTAAAAACTCATTTTCCTTGATTTATCAGGCATGTTCTGATTATGGAGGATTAGCACGTGCTAACCTAATTCATGAGAGAGCTAGTAACCAGAACTCCAGTTTCTGGAAATACAAGTACTAAGTGCTTCAATTTACTCAGATCAGCAGCTAAAGGCTGCTTGAGAAGTGTGAACCCAGAGGAAGGCAACTGGCCCATCTTGAGGGCCGATGTTACTGAATCTGTCTAGTGCACTAGAACATTTACATGGCCAAGCATGTCTCTCTTTCTTGACCTTGCTGGAACATTCTTTCCAGGGTCCTGAAGAGCCACCATCTCATGCTGTTTTAGCAGTATTCCTTCAGAGGGGCTACAGAGACTAAATGCCAACTTACATGATCTCTTAGACAATCATCAACATATTTATAAGCCACCTCTTTACATCCTAATTCACTGAAAAATAACTGGTAAGTGCTCAGCACTGCTACGATTTTATACACAAAGATAGAGATCAAGGCCCTGTTCTCCAGGAATCACATGTTCCTTTAGAGGGTTAAGAGCCACTGTGTTTTTCTTCCATCCCTACCTGATATCATCTATCTCTTGTGACTTCATGATCTTCATTTTTGCAGACTAACATTTCCTCACTCTTATCAAATTTAGGGGTAGTGGTATTGGAGACTGATAAATCAGTCAAATCAATTCAGTAAAACATCCTATTTTTGACTATTTTATTTAAATATTAACATTTCACTGGTCCTGTGGACAAGGGGTCTAGCATTTAAACAATCTTAGTGATGTTAACATTTCTACAAAACAGAGTGACAGCCATGGTAGGCACCCGTCAGAGTTGAAGGAGAAGGGATCTGTGGACTGGGTTGTCCCAACTTGTAGTTTTATTCCATGATGGTAATTACATGGTCATTAAGAACAGCTTATTGTCAGGCACAGTGGCCCATGCTTGTAACCTCAGAGGCAAGAGGACCACTGAGTTAAAGCCAGCCTCAGCAACTTAGCGAGGCTCTAAGTAACTCACCGAGACCCTATCTCTAAATAAGATATAAAAAGGGGCTGGTGATATGGCTCAGTGGTTAAGGCCCCCGAGTTTAATCCCTGGTACCAAAAAAAGCAAAAGAAAACAAGAAAAACCCAGGTTATTTTTATCTAATTTTCTTAAGTCTGAAAATCAGGACTCTTCAATTCCCCTCTAGCTTGCATAATTCATCATATATGTAACAGACATCCAGCTATGGTCCCAGAGATGGTTTTGCCACCACTTGCATAGTGAGACTACATTTGATGGACTTCTGCTTGTTTTACATTAGCTTTCAAATCTCAGGACCAAGGAGACCACTGTAAACTAGTCAAGACTAGTGGAATAATGGTTGTCTGATCGACTTGGAATAAGTCACTTATCTTTCTTGTATTCAGTTTTCTCGCTAAGTGTTGGTTATGTTTTATGACTTTTGTTTTCCTAACTCTAAATGACTCTCTGAGAATCTCTGGAAAATATGATCACAAAAAAGTTAAATTTCTTATGGAACTGCTCAGAAGAATTTACTTTGAACAAACCAGTTTTGAATAGTTCACTAAGAAGATGTCATAACTATTCTTTTTAGTTTGTGTGTGGCGCTGGGGATTGAAACCAGGGTCTTGTGCATGCTAAGCAAGCACTC